TCATTAGTTACTCAGCCTGCACACCACGTAGGCTTCGTAATTTTTAGGGTCAACATTTTGGCATGCCTAGTGGGACATATGCTAAAACTACGGAGTTCACATGATAAATCAAGATCTCAGAGAGGGTGAGATTTGGCGCCTATTCAAGTAAATTGTCTAGCAACAAAAACACCTTAACTGGATCATCGAAGCAAATGAAGAAAGGCAAAAATCTTTCTCTTAAATGAGAAAGGTGAGGGTTCATCACAGCTTACAAGATCAGTGGTTAAATGAAGATAAAGCTTGATATTATGAGTGGCTCGATAAGAAAATGCCTATTGGGTTCAAATCAATTCCATTTGAAGAATGGTTGGATCAAAAGGCCAGGGGGCAATTTTTCGCTTCGACCACAACCAACATTTGGCCTAAGAAGATTGCCAAGATGGCCTAAGAAACACCTAGGCCACCAATTATTTTGGTCGAGACTGAAAGTGTGGTAGACCTAGAAGAAAGAGTTCAAGTTTATGAGCCAAAAGTCGATTTAGAAAATGATTCGTCAGAGGAATGCTCTAATGATGAACAAGGCCGACGGCCTAAGAAACACCTAGGCCACCAATTATTTTGGTCGAGACTGAAAGTGTGGTAGACCTAGAAGAAAGAGTTCAAGTTTATGAGCCAAAAGTCGATTTAGAAAATGATTCGTCAGAGGAGTGCTCTAATGATGAACAAGGTTGAGACATGGGCCTAGCCGAAAAAACCACGCCAATCGATATGATTATTGGCGATAAAGCCGATATAGAGATATCCCATTCGGCTAAGTCGTTCGAGTTAAAAGCCAAAATTGGCGAAATTATTATGCCTGGGGGGCATAATAATTGTTCAACACATTCGGCGGCCAATGAAAAATATTTCACCAAGTCAAAAATATTTGGCGATCATTTTTTCGGCCCAGTGCATAGTTTGATTGGCTGTATTGATATTAAACGATCTCGGTTCGGAATAAAACATCGTTGGCCTCCTCCCCATTATGGTTTGGCCACTTTTATTTCCGTATGCTAAATATATATATATATAAAATAAATAAATTATTTTCTTAAACATACGGCTCTGCAGGCCAATGTAAAGAAAATAGGGGGCATACATTATGGGCTTGCTTTCAATAAGCTTTTCCTCGGTGAAATTTAAGCGAAGAAGACCTAATGCTTGGTGCAGTACTAAGGCCTGATGCTTGGTGCAGTGTGCAATTTGTTTGAAATTTCAAGCCTAGCCTTGGTTTTAAAGTTAGCTTACTTAAGGATGCAGCTACCAAGAAGAAAGGATACCATGTGTGTGTGTGTGTGTGTGTGTGTATGCCAACTGCATGGCCGACATATCACATTAGACAATCATGCTACTTTTATATATAGATATGTATATATAAGCAGGCCGAGCTGAACCCAGTTCTTCTCGGTCTCGGCACTACATGTCCTTGAACCCAAAATAGGTAGTACTTTAGCCTATGGACATGTTGTGGCATGAGGAATCAGTTTGCTTCAAGGCACCAGGCTAGTAAGGAGTCATGGTTTGCTTTCATGTCATGTTAGAATACAATTGGGAAGACAAAAGTTTTTTTTTTAGGGCCGAGCTTGGCCAACATGTTGAGGTATATATAGAGGCATGCCTAGCTATCAAGAAAGATTTTTCTCGGCCTCCTAACCCCCAATTCTTCTCAACCTATATCACACATGCCAAGCTCGGCGAGCTAATGCTCGGCACATGTTCGTTTTATATTGAGTACCATGAGAAGCGGTGGGTGAGAGTCTTCGAGACTTCGACCCCATTTGGTTTTTCTCGGCCAGCTCGTCGAGGTCTCTTTCAAGATGTGTCAAGCTATGGAGTGGATTCCTCGACCATATATTTCTTCGACTACACTAATTTCCATAACCATTCGGCTTACGGGCCGAAGCTCAAGGAAACTGGGGGGCAATGTTTGGACCCGATTTTACACCATCGGTCCGAGTAATCAAGACTATTAAATGTACGGAGTTTTAAATTGTCGCATGAGTAAAATGTCGAGATGATTTCCAATTATTTATATTATTATGATTATGATAATCATACTAATTATCTTTCGAATAATTGGAATTATCTTAATATTTTATAATTTTGTGGTGTTCAAATGCAATCACATTTCAAATGCCGAGGTCATCTTACCAGGCCTAAGATCACGCATGCTAGCCTGCAGTTATTATCCTTTGGATAAAGGATTGGAATGAAAAAGATGAGATGCAAGTAATATCTCTGATTTGGATAACAGGAAGCCAAGACAGATTCAAATTAATTAGGGATATTCGGCATCTGGCAGTGCAACTAATATGGGTTAATTTCATGCAATTAATCCATGCATGGGATAAAGGTGAAATTGTGATGATATGTGATGTGATGTGGATGATTATATCTAGGCAAAAGAGGTAGGCTAGGTTGTGATGATGACACAAGAAACCTAGGTAGGCTAGGTTATTTGTTTTTGCATGTTGATGGAAATAAGAGTTTCTGCTGGAGGTTTTTTAATGAGATCAGAAACCTAGGTGGGCTAGGTTTCTGATGTGGTATGGTAAAACCTAGATAGGCTTTATTTTAGAAGTCACAAAATTTAAAGGACACAGATCAATTTCAGTTCCGCGAAATAGAATTGCAATTGGACTCTACAAAATCATTTGGTCGCGCCACACAACATTTGCCTATAAATACAAGACTCGGTGCAACGGAAGAGCCTTCTCCAATTCAACACACAAATTGCCCTGTACAAACCTCTCAAACATCTTGAGATTTTTTATTTTCTTTTTCCGCCAACACATCTTCAGTTTGGATAAACAACACTGTGAAGGCAACCGACGAACATCTTCGGTTTGGATAAACAACATTGTTGCCGTAGAATCAGTTGATCGAGGAGCACCTTCAGTTTGGATAAACAGCACTGCATGGAGGCCGACTGATTACCTATCCAAGTCTCGGTCGAGAAGGATTTTCGAATCCTTATTGGCAGAGGTCATCTCATTAGCCGTCTCGGTGAAGTGAGGTGTTACTAGGTTACTACATTCGGCACCCTGAGAGCCGAATTTGATATTGAACTTCGCAGAACTAGCAGCCTTGTCTTCAGGCTCGAGAACCCGAAGGCCGAGATGTGTTCCTTCCTCGATCAGAGTTATAAGATCAAGAAGTCAGCAGCGCGCTTAACGCAACATCAACAAATTTTACTCCTCAGCCGAGCTCGGCTGATGAGTTGGCACGCCCCGCATCAACCGAAGGACGTATTTAGCTCATTAGTTACTCGGCCTGCGTGCCACATAGGTTTTATAATTTTTAGGGTCAACAGTATGACTTGATCCTTCAAAAAGGGTATATGGGCAGCCTAGCATTAAAGCTGGGTGCAATTGTAAAAAAAATAAAAATAAAAATAATTCCCAAAAATTAAGGGGTGAACTACGTTCGGCTTGACCCCTTCACATGGTACGTAGGTAGTCTAGTTTTATTACTAGATGCAGCCATAAAAAACACTTTCCCAAAATCAAGGGATGAACTACGTTTGGCTGGATCCCTTCACAGGCTACGTAGGGAATCTAATCCCCAAATTAGATGCAACCATAACTCATCAAAAATTATATATTTTTCCTGCAATGGAATTAGTATTTGTTTGAACTCTTCACATACGAGAGTTTAAATAAGAATGACAAAGCAGAGGTGATTTTCACTTATGCAGAAAAAAAGAAAAGACAGACAAAAGCCACAAAGAGGACGAGTCTAATGCATTAATTATCATGCATACTCACTTACGGGGAGCTCAACCCAAATATCAAACTGTATCTGCTCATGGGCACAGACAGCAGCTATACTTGACTAAAGAGTCAAAACCAGCAACCATGTTTGAAAAATGGTGCAGCTATGTTTGAGGAAATATGCCGTGTAAAACCTTTTAGCATGAAGAAAAATGCCTTCGTTACAAGATTGCCAACTAGAACGCTTCTATATATATAGAGGTAAAGTACTGCATGCCGAAGTTGAAACACGGAACGTAAACTGGGCAAGGGAGATGGTTAAAGAAATGTGATTTGAATAACATCAAAATTCAAATAAATCTTAAACATACTAGGTTCAGTGAATCCATTATTATCAATCGAGTTTGCTCAAAAAAGTCAGCTAAAAAAGGGGAAAAGCTAACATAAATATCCCAAATAGCAAGAGTGCAAACAGAAGGAAAACAACATGAATCCTACTATGGTTTGCTGCAAAAGTGGAGCAGGGAAGCAATTGAGTTCAAAATTCCTTCTTCTGCAGATTTGTTCAATGCTTCAGCATGCTCAACATCCGGGAGAAGCCCTTAATTTGCATCAATCCGTGACTGACAAAGTTCTACATCCAATTTCTTTTGTCGCTAAATTGAAGCTTTAAAGTCACTCACTCGACGCTTAACAGAATGCCTTCCGGAATCATATTGTTGACGAAGAACATGAGCGACCTCCTCTGCTTCTTTAACAGGCAATTCTTCAGCTTCAATTTTTAAGTTCCTGAATGGAATTGGATAACTCTGACTCGAAGGTCTTCTTAGTTGACAAAAACTCATCATGTCGATGAAGCAAATCGCAAATCTGATTACCTTGATCAATAATCCTAGCATTATCAGAAATCTGCGAAGCACATGCAAAAATATGGCAAACAGTTTTGACAAACCACTCAAGCTCCGTTCGACCAGATTCCAAAATGTTAATAATAGGAACCAAAACATCAAGCACCAGATTCACTTCCTCACGACAGCCAAGAATTTCTGTGGGTGAGTTGCAAGAGGAAAGTTTGACAAAAATATTCTCTACTTCACCAATAATATATCTAGCCTAAGATTGCTCACTTCCGAGCCGAACAAAGCATGGATGGATGTGTTCACTTCTTGCAAAGATGACAGGACAACTTCATCTGACACATAAGCAGCTGACTTCTCCCCGTAAGGCTGGTTCATCACCTCCGCATGCAAAGATGGTGTATTCAAAATTTTAGACATCACTTCTAGAGTGAAATTACCTGCATTAGCAGCTGCTGCAGTTTCAATATCTGCACCGCTAAGATCATCAGGCTTCTCATAACGAGCACGCTTAAAATTCACATTATGGCTACTCCCAAAGAAGACCATGGTGAAGAAGACCCTGGGTGACCTTGTACTTCTTGTCAGCTATCGCATTCTTGTTTTTAGAAAGACCAAAACTCTGACCAGCTTGTCGCAAACTAAGACTCCCACCAACCGGTCGCAAGCTAGGAGACTTCTCAATTCCCACTTCAGAAAGCAAAACTTCTCTTCTCAGACCTGGCGATATGTCTCTCTAGACTGACACAATAAAAACTGTCTTTTTATTAAAGGGACGTTTATTGAAGATAGCATAAATATTGGCCAAAGAAGTCCGAAGACATGTTGCACTAGTCCTCGGCCAACTGTATTGCACATGGATAAACTGCTATATAGTAATGTTCTTAGAATTCCTGGCCAACTCAAGTGACTCGGAAAACGAAAAACAAAAGCACTACTAGGATGTCAAACCAGTATCATATCAAAACATAAATGGAGCTAGAGAAGATAAAAAATTTCAAGCCTCGCAAATGTCAAAGCCATTTCCACGCACGATACTTGAGGGGGCAATTGTTGAGCCATATATTTTGACAAACAAAATATAATAGCAAGTCTTATTAAAAGCAGGGAGACTTAGAGATAAAAAACAATTAAAAAAAAAATCTACACCAGCACGCACGTGGACTATGACAAGTCTGATGGAGTTTGTCAACTACGTGGCAACCAAATATAGAGATCATGTGTGTTTAGAACTCTCCAAAACTCCCACGTTCTCCACTCAAGTGATGGCTTTCTCTCAGCATCTCTACACCCTAGGAAAATAGCATCCCACTAACTTCAACTGCCATGTCCACCGTTCGCCTATAAAAAGGCATCCAACCAAAGCAAACGGGGGGAGAAGACACAAAAAGAAGAAGAGAGACTCTGCAGAAATTGAGAAGAAATTGAGAGAAAAGATAGCAACGAAGGGGAGTGACAATAAAACGCTGCAGAAATTGAAGCACACAGAGAAGAACAAAGGAAAAAAGGGAAAACAAGGAAGACGGCAAAGGGAGCAAAAGTACAATGTATAAATTTATTGATTATAATTTTTTCCTTGTCTTGGTGTTGGTTCAGCTTTTTTTTTTGCAGAGGAAAAGAAAGAAGACTTGGCTCTTCTTAGTTTCACCAAAGCAAAGAAAAACGTGAAAGTTCCACCATCACAGCCATCAGAACGATAAACCTTCCTCCTTCCACCTTGAATTTCCAAGGCTACACCACTTCTCTCTTGGATCCTCCACCAGGGAGCTCTCCCCTTTCCTTGCTCACATCCTCTTGTACCATTCCCGGAGCCGTTCCTGATCTAAAAGCACAGCTACTGCAGCAATCACTACCGCCAGTGTTAACTTCTTCCATCCCCCAACGTCCTCTCGAGTTGCAACCCAACAAACCGCAACAAAACCACCACATCCCTCTGCCGCCGAGGTGATATACAACGGAGATTTCAGCAAAACACGCTGAATGGATTCAATCCAATTTCAAAAGGAAGAACCAGTTGCATGGGTGCCCAAAGAAGTTTGGAAGTCTGATTTGCATGGAGGAACAATGCCTACCCACCGTGCCGACCGATGGTTCGAAATTCTTCAACAACACCGTCGGCCACATCAGCCACACCGTCCTCTGATCCATAAGCCCAGCGTCGCAGCATGCTGCATTTTCTCACTGACGGCATAAAAGAATGTTGTCATGAACGAAGTCCTCCGCAGTGGAGGCCGAAGTTGAAATGGTTGCTACTGCTCAGTTTTAGGAGCTCATTTCGAAGAACTCGACGGTTACTGCTGCTCCATTTTAGGAGCTCATTTCGAAGAATTTGGCGGTTACTACTACTCGGTTTTAGGAGCTCATTGGGAAACTTCGAATCAGGAGGAATACGACTCGAAAAATTTGGCACAAAGTCAGAGAAAGAAGTCACACCAAAAGGAAGGATGCTTCCAGCAAAGGGAAAACAAAAAAAAAAAAAAAACCGCCGTCGCAGTCGTCGTCTTGGAGTTGAGAAGAAAAGAGGTTGCTGACGAAAAAGAAGAAGGAGAAGCAAAGTCCTATTTGAACTTGAAAAGCTTAATTCACAAAAAAAAAAAAAAAAGAAATAAAAAGAAAGAGAGAATAAAACTCGCTGACAACTTCATTGGTAAAGGCACTCACGTGAAAATCAAAAGGGAAAAGCCATCTCAAAGACTTTTTTTTTTGGAAACCATCTCAAAGACTCTTTGCTGTGCTGCTCTATTACACTAGGAACTCAAGAATATCATAATATTTCACAAAGAAATAATGTGGAGAGAGGATGCCTCACGTCATTGGTATGTGAAGAGGAAATTATGGTAATCTCACAAGAAGACAAACACAGGCAACAACCCTCGTTGATCACAAAGAAGATAATTAGGAAAAAACTAATTTTCTATAACGACAAGTTCTTTTCGAAACTTGTTGAAAGAAGAAATATGCAACTCATGATGACACTTTATCTTTGGTTGCTGCTCCATTCTTCAAGTAATGCAAAAAGAAAAGGAGGAAGAAGAAAGGTCCTTCAGAGAAAAAAAATGATACGAGAGCCTGCGGTCTCAATCCCGTCGAATATTGAGCTTTGGTGCACAAATGAAGCTAAGGATTTATTACAATCCGATGGCGCTCATCACAATTTATAACAAGAGTGCGAGTTTGCCAGACGTTTCCGCAAATATAAAAGGAGAAAGAAAAGTGTCCAGTGAAGCAAACAAATGAGTTTTAAAGCAAGGGACACCAACACGAAGTTAAGCTTTGATCTTGTTGTCAGAGCATGCTCGATCATTTGCATGAAATGGAGCAATCACATGATGATTCAAAGTTAAAAAAATTCCAAACAATTAATAGGGTGTCACCAACCCCCCCCCCCTCCCCAACAAAAAAAAAAAAACGAAAAGATCAAAGTGGGCAGGAGCTCAATGGCATGGGGGAGGCACACGGAGTCCAAGCGGTTTAAAATAAAAGGGGTGGAGACAATGTCAATATCAAACTCGTGGATGTAAAATACCCGAGAATGTGAACCATCACAAAATACAAAATTCAATGGACTCACTATCTCATGTTACTAATTTCACTCCACATCAATGGGTCAAATTCCCATTAAATTATCAGAATGGTCAAATGGCATAGAGCCATGTCAAATATCAACTGGCACGAAGCCGTATCAAATTTCAAATTACACGAAGCCATATCAAATTTACAATGGCACAAAGTTGCATCAGAATTCAAATGGCACGAACCCGCATTATGCTCCAATGGTTTAAAGTCCTCGCCTGCACAAGCTAAAACTATACAAGGTATCAAATGCTCAAATGACTCAAAGTTCTCGCCCGCACGAGCTAAAACTGCACAAGGGTTCAAATCCAAACAAGTACCAAATACCAAGGAACTACGAGTGACTTGATCCCTCAACGAGGGTACGTAAGCAATCTAGGACTCTACCTAGATGCAGTCACAAAATCACATAAACACCCAAATCCCCAAGTTACAATTTATTCATATTAGAATCAAAGGATATTCCTTTCCCAAAAGAAGGGTTGTAATTAATAGGCGCGTAGCCTAGAATGGGTCGAACTCAAATTAGTAAAACCCTCTTCGAAAAAATGAACGAGAGTGAAATTGTGTCGAGTGAATTATTTGTTTACATATTGTGTACAATTTTTGCTCAACACTTAGTATTAATTTATTTGTTATTTTGTGAGATTTTGATGTTTTGTATTATATTTCGAATGTAGAACATTCAACTTCCTCTGGAGCAAAAAGTGATCAAATAGATGAAATTTGAATTGATTCCAATTGGAGGATGTTCGTGAGTCTTTCAAGATGATTGTGTCAAAGTTTTAAATTTTTCTACAAAGCCGTTTGACCGTGGCGATAAAAGAGGCCAAGCATGCAGCTTTCCCGAATTGACGCTTTTGGACGTTTTGGGTATTTTGGAGATCAAGATGGCATATTTTAAGGAAGATTCCTCATGGGGATTTGTAGGGAACGTCAGCTTTAAAAGTGACTTTTTGGGACCAAATCGGTATTGATGTGGTCGGTCAGAAGTCTGACTTTTTTAGATGTCCGAATTTCAGTTCAATAGGAAACGTTTTATTACCTAGTTATCTTATTCTATTATGTTTCCTAGTTTTTAGAAGTCCTTTTCTAGGTAGGATTTTCTTTTGTAGTAGTATAGATAAGATTTTTTAGCCATTAGGGAGAGCACGTACGCATCAATTTGGAGAACTTAGTTAGGCTTTGACGATTTGTATTTCAAGGTGTTTTCTATCCAAGTTCTTAATAATTTTTTGTTTTATGGTTGTTCATAATTAATTTCCATCTGCTAGGGCAATGCTTTGAGCCTTAGCATGAATATGTAGTTTTTATCTATTTGTTTATGATATTATGCATGCATACTTTGAATTATTAATTCCTGTGTTTAAACTCTCTATATCTTAATGCTTAGCTACCATTAGGATGTTTAGATAAGTAATCGGATGCAATTTGGTCGGAATGCCACCAAAGGATTGAGTACTGCTTTTTGTGATTGACAGTTGTAATTTCACTTAGGGCAAATGCCACGTCTTAAGGGTTGCATGGTTTTTCAAAGGGTTTTCACAAAGCATAATGAGTCACACATGTGATTGATAGGAGCACATTTATTCTACTTAGTTATGTTTTTTCCTTGCATTTAGTTAGTTAATTACTACTTATTATAGTCTTTTAAGTTATTTTCATATGTTTGTAGGTCCTAATGGCAAAAGGAGCAAGAAAGTGCATTTTGGAGTCATTTGGAGCAGTTTTGGGCATCAAGTGGATAGCTTATGAGTGGAGCAAGGTGGATGGATGAAATTGAAGTCAAGAGAGGCTAGGAAATGCTACAAATCTAGAGAAACAAGTTCAAATACCAAGAAGATAAGGAAAGAGCAAGAAATAAGGAACATTATCCAACCTTATCTTATCCTATCCTAACCAACCTTATCCTTTCCTAAATCAAACATTATCCTATCTTATTTTATCAAAATTAGGTTGTGCCCTTATTCCAGCTATTTAGAAGGGATTAACTATATATTTAGACACATAACTCAGATTCTAGAAGCCTAATCCTTTATGTGCCGCATATATGCCATTCTTTGGAGGTTTAGGAGTTGTAATCCCTATCCTACACCTATGCCGTGTGTCATTATCACTTAGGTCCAGAAATTTGTCTAAATACATTCTTTCTAGAAGCCTATTCTTGATCCTAATTGGTTGCCGCACCTTTCTAATTTAATTCCCTTTGGTTTCTAATTGTTTTAACCCATTCCACTTGGGTTTTGGTTGTAGAATCCTTCTCTACTCCCTTTCTATGTTGTGATAACCTGTATATATATTCCTTATGTGCCAATTTCAGAGGATACCACCATATATTTAGAGAAATTGAGAGTGAGTGCCACAGGTCCCTTGGAGAAGTCTTGGAGATTTGTGCGTGCTTGCAAGGAAGGAAGAAGAAGAAGGAGTCTTGGCCGTGTTTTTCATTCCAAGGGAGGTTCGAAATCTGCCGTTGGAGTTGCTGGGGATGTACCTGGTTCTTTCTATCTTTAGATTTGTTTCAATGTTGGTTTTAATGTTGTTTTCAGTTTTAAGAGACATATGGAACTAATTTCTTTTTAGTTAGAGGTGAATTCGAAGCCATGATTATATGTTTTATATGAATTGATTACATCCAGTTATTGTTTCTTGAGTCTTGAATGTGATTTGCTTGTCTAAGTTATCAAAACTTGTTTATGTGTGCTGGTTGAGGGTCGACACTTAATTTGCATGCATTAATTTGATGCTAGAGTATAAGGGAGTTTCGCGTAATAGTTATTCACTTATATTTATAAGTAGTGGAGGTTGCTAGTCACAATCGTGTTAAGTGAATCCTTGGTATGAGTCTCATGCGTTTCATAGTGATGAATGCCTTGTCAACGCTTATGATTTTCACAAAACTTAATGACTTTTATATTTATCTTTATTATGCGTTTCATATAAAGAACTTGAGAAAGATAATTTGGTTGTAATGCGTATTCATTCAATTCAATGAAATAAGGAAAATCTGATGGTTAGTTGTGCGATGCAACTAACTTGGGGTGTTCTCATTCATAGTCTTAAGGAATAATAATTGGAAATTGGTTTGTATGCATATATCATGTGTGGAGAAGGACCCTCTAACTAGCATTTCACCCATTTAATTCACCCAAAATCGTTTTTACAAAGTGTTTTATGCAAAGTTTCTGTTTTAAGTTTTAAATTCGTCAAAAGCAATCCCCTTGTCATTTAGTCTTGTTATTTGAGTCAAAATCTGTTTTCTTTTGGTCTTTTGAGTCAAGTTAAGTTTTATTTTCGTCAAAATCACTTGTTAGGTCTAAAATTGAGTCTTTTTGATTGTTTGTTCCTGTTTTGAGTGTTTTAAGTTAGTTTTGAGTCTATAGAGTCTAGTTTAGTGTTTTTGAGTCTTATTCGTGTTGATTAGCATCCCTAGTTAATCCTCGGTCTAGAACGATCCCTACTTACATATATACTACAATTGTCAACAATAGGGTTTAATTTGTGTGTGAAGTTAATTTTCACATCAAATTTTGGCGCCGTTGCCGGGGATTAGCAAACTTGCTAATCCCTTTTGTTTGTGTCGTGTCAAAGTGTGTAGTGTGTTTCTTTGTGTCTTTTTGTTGTGTTTGCCATGCCCTTTAAAGTGGTTGCTAATTTTTTTTTGTTCTTTGTTTCAGGTACTAGTTTATGACTCGTCGTTCTCAACCTATTCGTGCAAACATATTGGATTTTGACGACAATTTTAAATGAACTTTGAGAAGAAAGAAGAAGCAACCAGAACCTAATCCACCTAGTTCAAGTTCAGAGTCTGAATCTGAATTTGAAGAAGAAGAAAGCAAGGCGGCGGACATTCGAACAATCAAAGAACTTTCGGCCTCGGGATTAGACATTGTCGTGCCTTTATGCATTCAACATCCTATGGCAGCTCAAGACAAGACCGATGAGTTCGAATTGAAGTCTAGCTTGTTGCATCACATTCCCAAATACCATGGACTGTCCATGGAAGATCCAAACAAGCATCTTAAGGAGTTTGAAGTGGTATGTTCAAGCATGACACCCATCAATGTCGATGGGAACATTTTGAAGATGAAGGCCTTTCCATTCTGCCTTTTGGAAAAGGCTAAAGATTGGCTATACGAATTGGCATCTAGAACCGTCACTTCTTAGGAAAGCATAAAGCGAGCATTCTTAGAAAAATTCTTCCCAACTTCAAGAGTGATTCTTTTGAGGAAGAAAATTAATGGCATTCAACAAAACCAAGGGGAGTCTTTTCCAGCATATTATGATGTTTCAAGACTCTAGTTGCATCATGCCCTCAACATCAAATGAAGGAAGAACTTTTAATTCAATATTTCTACGAAGGACTCCTTCCAATTGAGAGACAAATGCTAGATGCTTCAGCGGGAAGTGCTTT